CCCGTACGTCTCTGCGACCTTCAAGCAGTGGGGGTGGCGGTTACAGTGTCTCTCCCACGCCCCCAGGATCCTCCGCCCCAGGTTCTGCAGTGCTGGCAAGCCCTCGACCACTTCCGACAGGATTCTTCATTCCACCCACGAACATTTGTTGGTCGAATCTTTGTTCCTTCTTGTTCTCCTCGCGCAACATGCTTTCCAGCTCAAATCTTTCTTGGCAGATGCTTCCTCTCTTGCCTCCCGGGGATTCTCTCGGCTGGCTGACCTCGGCCTTTTGCGTCCCCTTCGCGCCGAACTTGACCTCTCCCTCGATCGCCCCTTGGCCCTCCTTTCACTTCTCTCTCTGTTGCGGTCCTTGGCTGGCGGGCTCTTGCCTCCACGAAGCTCGTCTCGGATTCGTTGTGGTAGCTCCGCTTCCGTCGTGTCCAGGTTTCCACTCCTGCGGGATGAACCTGGTTCGGGCGATGGAGACACCTTCACTCCTTCTGATCTCCTCTTCAGCCTCATCTCTGTGGCTGCCGCATCACCCGACGACAGCCCATCGTGGAATTGCTCCAGCTCCTTCATCCTCCCCTCCAAGAACTCTGCCGTCGCCATCTTCTCGAAGTGGTCCATCAGGAGGTGCACGTACTTGTTGCAAAGAGCCCATGGGTACTCCCCTGATTCTTGCGATGCCTTCTTGCCGATGATGGCCTTGTGCTTGGAGTTGCCGCGCTTGCAGGAGGCGTTCATCTGGTCAATGCCGAACAAGGCGCCTCCAAACCAGTGGCGATCACCTCGGGCTCTGTCTGCTTGGTATACGCAGGTGTTGAGGAGGGTGATCTTCACGCCAGGCAAGCGAAGGGACCGCACCATTTCGGCCACGCCCCAAGCCGACAAGTGGTCCTCGTGTTCGGACGGCGGCGGGTTTTCAACCGTCACAGGTTTGACCACGATGGAGGTAGTCGGTGTCTTGGCAATTTCCTCGGCTATCTGAGTTGAGCGGGCCATCATCACTGTCCCTCTGTCGCACTCCTTCTGCTGTCCCTCGTCGTTGGACTTGCAGCCGTATGGTTCTGCTCGAGTTCTGACGGGTTGCGCCTGAACCTCAAGCGGGAGTACGTCGAACATGGGAAACCCGAGTGGTACCCGTCGATGAACCCTTCCCGCGCCCATTGGAGGTGGGTGTTGTAGGGCTCATCAGCGCATAGGTCCTCTCCCCACTCGGTGGAGATGACTTCAACCTTGAGGTTTCTCTTCTTGGCTGCGCGATGGATCTCACCTCTGAAGGGATCTCGCGGGCCTGCAAAGTGATGTAGGAACCTGAACTTCCTGGCATGTACGTAGTCGTGGATCTTCTTATGTCCCGTTTCGTCTTCTCTTCATCACCTCCTTCCTCCTTAGGGTCTTTCTCGCCTTGGTCACCCGCTTTTCCTTCGTCACCTTGATCACCTCCATCTCGAAGCCCTGAGCATCTACTTCTTGCCGGCGCATTTGATCGCAGGGTGACCCGGCGACCCGCACGATGAGCATCTGTGCGCCCGCTTGGTGGAGTTGACGCACTCTGCACCCGGTGGCAATGATCCATCTCTCCGTTCCAGGAGAAGCAAATACTCTCTGAGCTCTTGCTGCTCTTCCCCTTCTTCCCGCCTCCTTTGCTTCTTTGCCCTCGATCTCCACCTGCGTCGCCGCGGCTTTCTCGGAGTCGATGGAGTTCTTCCCTTTCGGACTGCCACTTTCTCTTCTTTGCTTCTTTTCGGTCTCTGTTCGCTTGCTTTCTCCCTGAGGATGATGCCGCGGGGGAAGTGGATCCGTAGGTGCCTGACTCCATCATGGGTTGAAGTGCCTCCAGCCCGCCATGCAAGCTCATGGATCTTCTTCGACCCAGTCGTCCCATCGACCACCGCCTCGGACATACATCAGCCGCCTCGCCAATTTCCACACCAACCCCACCTGGGCAGCTTGGATTGCCGTGAGGTGGGCATTGTCGTCCAGCGAGGCCTGGGTCAAACTGGCCGCCACCACCGGACGTGGCAGGGTCGCCAACAACCGAAGGTCTTCTCCCGGGCTGCCGGCTTCCGCTGTGAACGCTTGCCACAGCCCATCCTCCACCTCGAAGTGAGCCAGCAGCTCGGAGACCTTCGTCATAGCAATGGCCGCCTCCGATGATGGATACATACCAAGCCACCGCGAGGCACCACATCACTTCAAATTGCTGAGTGCTGGGTGGCTTGAGCCAAAATGGCAAGACCACTCAGCACTCCCCACCCAGTGCTCCAAAATTTGTCATGCGGAAAAACTTCGTTTTGCCTTCAAGAATCGCTGCTCTCGCTGGACTCTTTCTCCTCCTCTCTTTCTCCCGGCGTGGGAGCCACCACTGCTGGCGCTTCGGGGCCTTCTCCGCCCCCTCTCGCGGCTCCATTGGACCGTTCTGCAGGTCGTCGGAGCTCCTCCATACCTCGAACCTTTCAGGTTCTCGACCCATCCTGGGTCCGACACGCTCCTCCGTTGAAGCCTCCTCAAATGCACTAGATCGTCTGCTTCCGGGGCTCCGGCGCAATCTGGTGGACATAGGTGAAGACGGACAGTGAACCTGCTTTGAGGAGCAGTCAGCCACCTCAAGAATCCTTCGTCTTCACCAGCAAGCACTTCAAGAGCTCTCCTGGATCTGAACAGTCTCAACCTTGAAGGCCAATCTGACGTCTCGGCCCCAACTCCTCTCTCCCGCAGCCGCTGGCCTATATGTCGCACTTCTCGACCTTCTCGATCTCCACCGTCAGCTCCGCGTCCTCTCCTAAGGGCAGGCCTTCTGTCTCCCACTGCTGGCCTCCTCAATGGCCGGGGAGGTTCCTCTTTTCCGCTTTCCGCCCAGCGACGTATTCCTTGACGGTCTTCTGCGACTCTTTCTTCTTCAATCCCTTGTTGACCCCTGAGTCCTGGTTTTGCTTCCGGGTTGGCCTCGGCTTCAAGCTGGGGTTGTTCCTCCCACTAGGGATCGGACCTTTCCAATGTGGAGGTGGTCTGGACGGGGAACGTGGCCGCTTCCTCAAGGACAATCTCTGGCCTGCTCGGCCCTGCTCTTGGTGTACTTGACCTTGATCTCTCTTCTCTCCTTTCTTTCCTTCAAATTTTCATTTTGAGTCACTATTTTTCAAAAAATTCTTGACCGGTGGCCTCCTCTTCTTCGGAGTCGAGCCCTCTTCTTTCTGTCCCTCTTGACCCTCACGGCTAGGAGATGCAGGCTTCTTCCTTCTTTTCTCCTCCACTGAAATCGGCTGCTTCCTCTTCCTTCTTCACTTCAACCTCCTCTTCTTGAGCTTCCTTGGGATCTCGATCTCGGTGAGCTGGGGATGCCTCAGATCTGGTTCGATCCTGCCGTGCGCGATCTCCCTGAAAAACTGGCCTTGAGTGATTCTTTGATGCCTCTTCTTCCTCTGCCTTTCCTCGCTGATCTTCTTTTGATGCCCTTTCTTTCGATGCCTCTAGCGCTACCTTCTTCTCCGGCGCCAGTCGTTCAGCAGGAGCGCCACCTGGTCTTCCTCCTGCCTTGCCCCCAGCCACAGGAGGAGGGTGTGCTGGACCCTCCCCTTCCTGTGGCCTATGGGCTTCCAAGAAGATTCCAGAAGATTCCTAACTTTGATCGCGCCGTAACCCACGAAAAGGTCTGGCTCAACGCGGGTGCCTTCCACCACCAAGCGGCAGACCCGCCTCAACGAGGGACACAACGTGCAGTTGCACGTCACGCTGTGCCCCCACATTCGCACTTTGAGCCGACGCTGCGGAAAACAAGAGTCTTATCATTCCTTTCGTCTTTAAATACGGGGCCGAATTTACATGTGTTTTTTTAATGTGAAGTGTCTTTCAGGTTCCGAAAGACAGTATGGAATGCAGAGAACATTCCTAAGCCGAGCTGTTTACACACAAAGTTTCAAGATCTTCTTGAACGCAACTGTCTTTTGCGCCGCTGGCACGTCAGCAAACGCATTGCGCAAGACTTAGGACTTAGGTCTGACAGTCTGATATGGTCAGATGATGTCAGATGTATGTAGGATGTAGGGGGCTTTAAAGACTACCAGCACATAACGTCCAAATGGAGCGCCATGTATTGACATCATGAGCTTCCAACATTGCATGGCTCAGCCAACAAAGGTTGCACCGCCTTCGCCAGGTCAAAGCAGTTTGGAAGGATCCACCGTGGACGCCAGTTCAATGCCCCTGGCCCGGCGTGAGCAAAAGGGCTTGAATCAGTGGAGATCGCGGGGCGCCGCAAACTCCATCCAAAGACTGCATCAAACGAGCCCCGCAGTCGTCAGAGGGCACGAAGAAGCTCGGCCAAAATCTGAGTGGAAATGGCGCCGTGCCTTCCTTCAAACCAGTGACGCTTACATTTTCTGGGTAGCTCTGTGGTGCAGTCCAGTGATACGAGCGCTTCGTGCCCTTGAGCTACCAGGGAAACGAACTTCTCTCACCAAACACTGTAGTCAAACTGTTGAGAAGTGCCGTCCCTTCCCTACACGAAAGACGTGGACACATGCGGACAAATAGGCTGCAGTGGCAGGCTAGCAGCGTTGAGTGTTTGTGGCTGCCGCTGCCTTGCGCTCAGTGTCGCAAGTGAGGCATTGTCGTTCTAAAAGCAACCGTTGGACTCACCTTTAGAAGCGAGTGAAAACGCATGTAGGGCGCACCTTCTGGCTGGCAAGCGGGGTATAGCGGGGCATGGTGAGGACTTTGCCGTATGCGAGGACCAGTGTGATCTGTCAGCAGCCGCAGGGGCAGGTTTGTACTGGTCTGATATAGCATCATCTGTGTTTCCTGCAGTTTCCGCAGGCTATTTGGGAAGGATCGCTTTCAACAGCCATGAGAGAACCGTGTTCATTCAAACCCGCTGTGTGTGTTTGTGCGTCCATGAGAGCATCTCCACCGCCCTTGCAGGCGCAGCCAGCGAAAAGAAAATAGCCTACTAGAATTTGCCAGATTATGTAAATTGTCGTGTCACACAGTATGTTTCAGTTTCAGCACAGCGCCTGTTGGCCCTCGAAGACCGCTTCAGGTCTCTGTGCACACGGAAGGCTAAAGCTAAGGAAGAGCCGAGCTGGAAAGCTGCGGGAGATGCTGAGATTGACTTTCCACATTTCAAACGCAAACATCGCAAGACCACAATTATCGTCTTCCGTCACCGTTACATCTGCCTGCCATCGACCGCTCACAAGTCTGGCCTCCTTTCCTTCTGAATCACAAAACATTTCCTGGGCACAACGAAGAAAAAAAACACTCCAAAAAACTCGGAAACGCAATACCGCAATCACGGCCAACTTGAAGTGATTGGCTGCAAAAGTTGCACTGTTCAAGGTGAATGCGACATGATCCAAATCCAACCCTAACCTGCTTCACGGCATCCTCTAAACTTCCTTTTGTGGCCCGCAGCCTGCTTCACACCATCAGACCGAGTTTCTCTCTCTCTCTCTCTACGTGTATACAATCCAATGTACATATATATATATATACGGCGGCATTGACTTGTTTTTTTTTGCCTTGCGTCCACTACTGAGTCTCAGCGTCGAGAAGGATGCTTGGGCGCTTGGCTTTTGGATTATATTGCTCGATTTTGCGCCGCCCTGTCATTCTGAAAATGATATCCATCATATTGAGTATGACTATGCAGTGCATGAATGTCTTCGTTAGACTTAAACACCCAATGCTGACGCGGTCTTCCAACTCTACGTTTCCCTATATGTTTGGGCTCGGCGCTGTTTTGTTGATAGGATACTTGTCTAAGGGGATCGTGATTTGGGGCCCGCAATATATGTCCAGCCAAACGAACTCGCTTCTGATCCAAATCAATCGTAACGGGTCTAATTCTACTATTAGGATCACGAGGATATGCTGTTCTTGAAGCAAGTTCGAGCACCCTGTCGTTCGTCCACCGTCGGTCAATGTAGGTTGTAAGTATTTTGAGAATTTGCCTCAACCCACGTAGTTGGAAAGCCCCCATTTTCTTACGTAAGGTTTGAGTGAGGAACACAGTCTCCAGATTATACAGCAGCTTGGTCTTAGTGACAGCATCATACATGACGAGTTGCCATTTCTTGCTTACATTGGAAGCTTTCCAAAAGACCGCTAAACGCCTCCAAGTTGACATTGCATCTTGGATCCGTTGTGTAATTTCTCTTCTAAGGTTTACTGTGTGGTTGAGGTTGTTCCCCAAGTATGTAGCATCTTGCGCTTTATCTAGAAGTGTACCATCGGCAAAATGTATGCGCGCCTCACGGTGCATGTTCAAGGAATGGCGCTTGGCAGGGTTAAGTTTCAATCCATAATATCCAGAACATTCCTCCATATGTTTCCAAATTTCATTCAATCCTCTTGGGGAAGTTGAAAAAAGAATTGTATCGTCTGCATAGTAAACGGCATCGAAGTCAACGCCCGGGATTCTTGAGTTTACAACGTGACCAGAGCTGCGGGACCTAACATCGTAATCAACACACGTCATCACCAGCAAAAATAGATATGGACTACGTTGATGCTAGGGCCACCAGGGCAGCTAGCAATTTGGAACGTTTGAGGGGCATCAAGTTGGATGGGATGACCATTCCGCCAGCACCTTTTTCAAAGAAGATACTTGCATGAACTATTTCAAGAACACCTGTATTTCTTGCTTTGGCACCAGCCAAGTGTGCAATCCAAATGCTTGTTTAAAACATGTCACTTGTTTCTTTTGAACCCAAGGAGCTTCACAGTGTATGACCCGAAGAAGCGTGGTGCCAATATTGGGGTAGTGCTGTACCAGTCCCACTACTATGTTGGCAAGGCTTCAGAGGACCGGGTTCAGGAGAAGTTTGGAAGAGACCCATATCCCAATGGCAGTTTCTGTGTCCCCTGGGAGCCTGACCCAGAGACTGCGTGCAACTGACATGTTTCCCTGCAGTGCTGAGGCATCAACATGCAGCCATATATCACCACACAAAAAGGGCATCACACTCTGAACCCAGCCAGGTGGCTCCTGGCAAAGTACGTTGCTATGTGGTGGTGGACACCATCATTAGCGTGTGCCCTGGAAATCCGTTCAAGCAGACAGAGAGAAAGAGAGAGAGATAGGGACAGTGTGCTTGGTAGAAGGCATCATTTTGTTTTGAGTTTTTCACCACTCTGAGACACGATTAGTCAAGACTAGGCAAGTCAAGGTGAGCCTGCTTATTGCAGGCAAACCTTTGCAGCAATGTGATGATATTGTTGTGTGTTCCCAGGTCGACCGGTTGCAAACAGGCGGACAGCACAGGTCAGAAGTACAGTGCAGGGGCCTGTCACTCTTTGGGGTATTCCGTGAATCAATGTGTGTGCGTCTACCATTTGCGTTTGCAGACTATTCCATGAATCATGAGTCAATGAATCACTAGTGCCTGAGTCTGTATGAGTCTAGTTGGGGAAGCGACTATTGTACATAAAGGCCAAGGCATCATGGTTGTGGACATCTACACAGCAGCACTTGCCTTGGAGAGTCAGTTGGCTATCAAATGTGTTTCATTCAGTTGATAGTGATATAAAAGCTGATAATGGTGCGAAGACATGACATGTCAGCTTCTTCTTTAATGGAGCAAACTGTAGTAATAGTCATTAACTAATATATGCAGTCACAACACATGTCATTGTCAGATGTGTTTCATTCAGTTGACCAGCAATCATAATGTGAAAGCGTGCTTTGCCTTGTGACAAACATGCTAGTATCTAAAATGAGCATGAGACACCTACCTGCTGACTCTGCTCTGCTTATTCTGTGGCTCAGTCAGCTGTAAGTCAAGAAGTTGGTCGGTCTGTGCTGGTTGCTGCTCCCACTTGATCATGGCATCAACATTGATGCCCATTCCGAATCCAATATTCGGATTTGGTGGTGGCGTGTGACCTTCCACTGGGTGAAGATGACAGCCGTACCTTCTTGTGCTCTGAGCTGTTGCACGCGATGTTGGATGAAACCCCACCAAGGGAGAGGAGCAAACTGAAACTCAGCCAACGTAATCAACAGCCGAGGAATGTGTAGTCCACTTGACATTTGTGCAATCCTTGACTTGTCAATTGTGTTTCTCATTCACACTAACCTTTGAAGTGACATTGGCTGATGGTGGACTCAGGATGCAGGAAGCTTGCCTTCAGATCTTTTGTTCAAGGGCACTGCCATCAAGGACATTGTTCTGTCCTCATTTCAATTGCTTGTCACTGACAGAGTCACTCAAAGTACTGTCAACAAGCCAGTAGGCATGAGACAGTAGGATTAAGCATGTTCTTTCATTTTCTTCCCCTGTCAGTCTGTCTGAGGCAGGACGGAGGGTTCAAAGTCCGTACAGAGTATCTTGATCAGTGTCCGGAATTGAAGCCACTGGTCTTGGTTGACTGGATGTCAACTGTCAGTCATACTTCGTTCTTTTCCAAATAGATTCCAAACAGCTGCACTGAGGTTTGTTCATGGCCTCTTTCAGGAGTTGGCAACTGCCCAGGTACTGTACAAAAAATGACAAAGAGCTTGACTGAGGCAGGAAGTGTCGCACACAAGGGTGATCTGTGTTATTGGTTGAGGTGGGTGTCATAAAAAAATACACTGGACCGACTGGACGGGAGGCAAATGTCACCTGCATCAAAACAGAGGAACTCTTGAGGATGCTTAATGAGGCGTGTTGGGTCTCATTGTGGTTGAGGATAGATGTATGTCACTGCAGTGGACCATGGGCAGTAGCTATATGCCTATTACTGTGACTACTCTGTCAGGGACACCTCTCCATCGTTTCGTGCCCCGACTCAGAAGCAAGCCTCGCTTGGCGATCCTCCAGCTGAGTTTCAATCACTCCCTGGCCACGCAAAAACAGTGTGCAGGTAGTGAACTGACAATGTCACTTCATGTTTCATGCTCCTAGTAGCGTCTTTGCTCCTAGTAAGGCCAGGAGCCCCTAGTAGCGTTCTTGTTCCTAGTAGCGATGCCCTTTGCTCCTAGTCTCAACAAATTCTGCATGTTTCTCCACGACTTGGGGACCTCTGGCAGTTCTTTGACCGGGTCTGGCACCTGGCTGAAGCAAGTTATAAATGCAACCGGACCGACAAATGTAGTACGACCTATACACCCGCATAACAAGGCCAAAGGAACGACAGCTTGCTTCGATGAAATCTGAGACTGAGATCAGGCACCCGAGAATTGTCTGGGTCTATCTCGCCAAGGAAGCCTACCAGTTCGAGCCTGGAAGTCTGTGCCCAAGACAAGTGAAGGAAGCATAAAGTTTGGTGCAAAAAGGGTCAGGGCAACAAGAACGCTTCTATAAGAAACACTCATCCATACTGGGTCGATAGCTCCAGGCACTGAACAGTCGGCAGTCGCCTTGAACCCGGCACAGTGTTCAGTTTGCATGTTTTGAGATTCCCTCTCAAAAAACAAAACATGAGAAGATCAGTTTGGCAAAGGCCAACACTTCAAGAGTTCAGCAGGTCTGAGCCATCTCAACTCGCAGGTCGAAGACCTGAAACATGTAAATGTAAAGCAAGCGGAAATCATCATATTCCATCGAGACGCTTTTGAGTAGCAAGAAACGCTCGAGCACGGCAAACAGGACAGCTTGGCACACCAACAAAGCAAAATGCTGCACGACCTCAAGATCCAATGAACATTGCTGCATTCGTGAAATCCATTCAAACGAACGCATGAATCATGAACAATGAACAACTAACAAACACTTCTGGCTACAAGTATTGGTCACAATGCCAGTCGTCAGTCAGAGTCCTAACTTTTGGCTTGCTGCTTGTCCCAATTTGCCCCAAGTGTCTGACATGCGCCTTCCCTAGAGACTTGTTAGACTCTTTAAACTTTCAGCTGAAGGGTAGACTACGCACATAGCCTTGTAAAACCCTGTATATATACACAGAAAAGAGTCTAGCACTTTTTTGGAAAAAGGTCTCTAAAACATGATGTCCAAGTGTTGTCCAAACTACATCATCATCTCATGCCAACATAGCACATATACCTGAGAGGGGGGGGCGAAAGCCAGCAGCCGCCAGACGAGTGTCTCTTTTCTAGCAAGCGTCGCGGCACAAGACACATGGTCGGCAGCTTGTGAGTGAGCGGTGCCGCGGATGCAGGGGGGGCGTATGTAATGGTGATGGAGGGAGCAGAGAAGCAAGCCGGGCGGCTTTGGGATAAGTTTGGTATGAAAGAAGTAGTGGCAGAGAAATGCGATACGTTGTATGTTGGTGTAGGTCATCATCACAAGGC